ATATAATTAGTTATAACTTTAAAATTAAAATTTTAAAAGCTTCTTGCTTATTTTAATGAAAATATAAAATATTAAATATTAAAAATTACATATGAATATAATTTTACAGCAGTATTTTTAACTTGATATAGCCCAAAAAACCCGTCTTTATTACTAAATGGAATAAGTTGCATATTAAGCACTTTTAGTTTGGTCAGTAATCAATCTATCCATGCAATGATATAGCCCCAATTTCATCCAGAATAGATAGACTTCTCGATATATTGAAAATTAAGGGGTTTAAAAAATATCCAATAGTATACAAATTGCGATGGAGGTGAAGCTCTCATCTTCAATCAATGAGATCCAAAATCTCCCTATAGCACGCCATCACTCCTCCAAAGTTATAGGTTATTAATTCATTGGCTTTAACCATTACATTGTAAATAAAGTTCATAACTAACATTTTCATCTTAATCCAATAGCATTGTGATTGGTATTGCATGTGATACTAAAATAAAAGCTTTCATTTAAATAAATTCCCTTAATATTTTTTGTCCATGTACAACTAAGCCATTGAGTGAAAGTGAACATAAAATTCCATAATTGCTTAACTTCCAACATGCTCTATTAAGTCGAATAGGTTGTAGCAAATGTTATTGTAATGGGTTGTGGTGTTTTTTTCTTTAAAACTTCTCCTCAATGATAAAACTCAATAATGATTGTAAATGAATTTACTAATTACTTTGCTTTTGTGAGGGCATTTTTATGATGGTGCGCGTCACGAAACTTCTCTAAAATTAGGACTATATAGTATACAACACAAGGTGTTCAATAACGATACTTTCTCTTCTCCGTCAACTTATTTCCAACAGCTCTATAAGCACTAGTATTGTCTCTCACAACTTAGACCACCAAATATTTTCCAATATCCTCTATCACTCAAGCAATGCAAAAATATTGTCTGCATCCTTCAATTTATCAAATATTTAGTATGACATTAGCTATTAAAATGTTAATCGAACTTCTATTTTTTTATATCAGACTAACCACCGAATATGATTGTTACTCCAGTTCAACTTCACGTCCTTTTAATCTCCTCTATGTCTTTCTCTATATTATTCAACTCCTTCAACACCCATGTCCTTAATCAAACATAGACAAGAGTTTCAACCCTCAACCATTAGCACCCATAGGACAAATCATATTAAAATAAGAAGGTAAGGTTGCCGTAATGAATGTAATCGCATTCTCATAAAAAAAATCTCTCAATATCCATCCAAACATGTTTGTGCCTCTAATAGGCTCTAGAGACAACCTCTGAGTTGTAGCTATCTTCTCTCCATGACCCTTGTTATGTTCTACATTCACTCTTTAGTGGTCTATAAGACCTCTTGCACATCTACTAAATATTTATGGCAAATATGATGAGTCCCTGTCACTGCACACACTAATAAAAGCCAACATCAACTCTAATATCAAATTAACATTGCATAAGATGCTTTGACATTATCCACTTATTCATGTATGATTGAATCTCCACTTGTATTGTTTCTGACACTTTAGCGTATAGTGCTACCATTTTATATGAGCTAGAGAGGTATTTCATCATCCTTGTTACACCCGCTTTAACTAACTTGTCACATTAGTTGCATTACAAACATCTTCTCATTACATCAATATCGTCGTGCATGCTATGTCTCCACATCATGTTCTTCCAATGGCTTATGAATTTCTCCTTGTCTCTAGCTATTTCTTACAAAAATCCTTGACTAAAAATTATGATGTAAAGTTCAAATAAATTTAACTATTTATAAAAATTCAAAAAAATAAAATATTTTGCACATAAACATTATTACCAGATAGAAAAAATTAATGGAGAAAATAAAGATAATCACAGCATAAGAAAATTTTGTGAGAAGAGGGCAAAAGTTGTAGGGCGGCGCAAGCAGCAAACGGTGGCAGTGGTGTGAGAAGGGAGATTGAGCATAACAGGAAGGCAGTGGAAGAAGACATGGAGATGGTAAAAGCAGAAGATAACGATGACAGAGATGGCGACAACGACCAAAGTAGGAGATGACTGTGGAAACGGGAGCAATAAGCGATGGGGGCAACAATAGTGCTAGGGATAGAGAATGTTTTCGTGGGAGGGAAGATCGTTGGCTAGGGGGGTCATTGTACTGATCAAAATGTGGTGGAAAGTAACGTGCAATGGAGACAATGATGGAAGCAAATGGCACCACCAATGGCGGCAACACTGGAACGACCGATTAGTATATTATTGTGAGAGATGAGATCACATATTTGCACGCAGAGTGCGGGCTTGAGCGAAGTAGGATTGTGAATTTAAGAAGGAACAAAAAAAACCTAGAGTAATGAGTTGGAGCTTAATAAATTTGAGTCATAGCACGCCACACGCCTCACCAAATTTATAGAGCACATCTTGCATTGGTCATTTGAGGTGCCTGTTCAAACTTGTGTTAAGGTGTGACTCAACTTGCACAATTTCAAAAAATGATTAAAAGTAATTTGTGATTATCATAATAAAGCATCTTATAACTTAAAAAAATATGGGTTGTTAAAGGATTTTAAAGTATATTATATAGTATTTGTTTGATTAACAACAAATTCAATAGTATAGTCTGTACAGCAAATGAATATGTATAAATTTATGTAGCTCAAACTCTTACTATGAATCCTGTTCAATCTTATCATTGTACAAAACAAAGTAAGCTAAACTTTATCCAATAATCGAGCTAAGCACAAAAAGAGACATGAGCAGATATTGTGAAAACATGTTTATATAAACTTTGGTTAATTTCCCATGCAACATATAATATGTAAACCCAACTCCAATGTTGCAATAAATCTACAGCTGGTAAGAATGCTAGATGAGGATGGTGAATAAAACAATGACAATACTTTTCAAAGGTTTTCAAGATCATTCCTAGCACAATAAATAATGATATCAATTCCTAGGATACCTGTGTGATATAATGATATGGCAAATTACACTTGCTTCATAGCTCTTCACATTAGACCCTAACAACCATGACTTATGAAATTATCAAATTGAAAATTTATTTATGTGTATTTGCCATTGTGGTTGAGGATGTCGGGTGGTGACCATTACAAGTTTTATGGCAATCCCCACAAGAAGCCTTGAAAAAGGAATTAGGATTTACATGCAATTGAGATTAATTAGTAGAGATAGATCACGAAACCAGTAAATAACGTCTAACAATTCAAGGAAAGGTATTGACAAACTACTAAGCAACTATCTGCATATGAGATCCATAAAACAAGATATGACATTGATCAACAATCAAAATGAACTTGTTTTGATTTTTTTTGTGGGAATCAAACTGAACTGGAACAGCAACATTGAATTAATAACTATTAAATTAAAGTATTTTCCCAATTACTCCTAACAACGCAACAAGCAATGAATTTTATCTTAGTGTACTTTGAGATTCAATGATCTGCGCAACAAAAAGTTGAAACTAGTAATCATTAACTTTAAAGGGCATGCTTCCTCTCAGTAGAAGCAATTGAACATGAAGTATAAAGTGCAAGGAACCAAAATGAGAGTACAGGAAAATACTGTTTAGGAGACAATTGCAGTCATTAATAAGACACAAAATTGTGTACCAGGCTCCAAAATCTCCATTCAAAGAATAATCACAGTAAAAAACATTATTATCAAAGCTAAAAGTTATCACAGCTATCAATGTGGTGTTCTTGGCAGACATATCAGTACCATTTACGTAAGTAAATGATAACTACATGTGACATCTCACATTGAATAGAATAAAGTTTGAAAATGGCCAAAATAGTTCCTTCATAAATCAATCCTAAAAATTTTACTCCCAAATATATGTGAAAAAAGTATCAAAACTAGATAATTTGATGCATTCATATATTGCAGCAAACCTTACACCTAAAAAAATTCAAGCGATTTAGAATACAAGAACTGAAGTGAACAGAAAATCATAAAAGTTAATTTTTTTCAAATATCTGTGCGAGTGGGGAACTTGCTCGTGGTTTGAAGAAAAGGCCATCAAATTAAAGATGAAAAATATGATCTAAAATACCATAATACGCAATCGATAATGGAAATTTAAAAACTCATAACCATCAGGGAAAACACTGCAGAAAACTTTTACAAAATAAAATTGAGATCAAATATAATTATAACATAAAAATATGCAAGTTTATGTATAGTTCTGTAAATTTAAAAATGATATATCTAGAATCTGGCATGCTTAACAATCTCTCCAAGCAGCCATTTAACAGATACTGCATCAAGTAGAAGCTTTCTAACCTCAATGGGAAAATGACAGATTGGCATGAAACAGGCACAAACCAAAATAAGAATAAAGAACTCAATCAGCCCATCTAACCTTAATATCTTTTTTCTATAACAATTTTAAAACAGTAAACATATCCACATGACTTATACTTGTAATGGATTTCTTTGAAGCAGCAAGAAATTAAAAAAATAAAACCACACCACACATCATTTTTCCATGGTTAGTTTTCTGATAAAGGTGAGGCACAATATCATAAAATCTAAATCCTAAAATTGCATCACTATAGATGCATCTATTGCACTTGCATATGCATTGAATGCAAGCTTAGCATCACAAGTCCTGCGTAGAAAGTAAAACAAACTCAAATAATGAGCTTTCCATATTTCAATATGGTAAAGCTTGAACAATTTCTTATGCATGGTGAAAAACAAATTGAAAATAAGAACGAGTTAAATAGGTATAATAAAGATTTGATGGACAACAAAAAATGTATAATGAATGGACATAGAGGGCAACAATCGCTAAAAAAAAATCCTCAGCTTCCTATGATAAATTGGAGCTATACGTGCATAGCACGAACAACTGAAACAGACAGCTTAACAGCAGACCTAATACTGTTGCGCGCAACTGCTTTGTTAGGTATCAAGGCTAACCAAGTTAGAATGAATGGTCGTTATAATCTAGACATCTGGGTAGGACTTAGGTTACCTTGTCCTCTGCCAGTAAGGGAAGATGGAGAAGGATTTCGATTGGTTCAGTGTCCGCAGCCATGACAACGAACTCTGAGATTCCCCTGTTAAGTGTTTTGGTCGCTGCATACAAAAAGAGCTCAAATTAGCCAGCTCAGCATCAAATAAACAAAGAACAAACAAGAAATATCAAGAAAGCATAAAACTTCCTAATCGAAAACCTTCATTGGCGCCCTTCTTCAGTTGCTTATAGTTGGCAGCTTGCTGGATGAGATCGAGGATTGTGATGGAAAGCTGGGCGTCGGCTAAGGGATAAGCCTTGGGGTTTACCTGCTCGGTCTGAGAAACACGGGAATAGTATCTCTGTTTAGAGGTTTGCAGTGCGGAGAAATGACCTAAGAGAAGGCCAAAAATAAACAGAGGAGGGTGGTGAGAGGAAAGGCACCATACCATTTTCTTTGTTGTTTCGACGTTAGCGGCAAGAGAAGAAGGCACCAGAGATGTTGAAAACGAAGACGAAAAGAAGTGAGCGGCTTAAGAGATGAAATAGCAGGAGAGGTTTTTGGCGTTGGGCCAAACGAGACCCACCATCTCACATGATTTATTCTGAGAGCCAAGAATGTGTTCATTTGTGTATTTTTAGGGCATGAACATTACCACCACACATTCATTTATATATTTTGAGGGCATCATCATTCCTACCACCACACAATTATAAATATTTACAATTATAAAGTATTTACAAATCTAATACCTAAATTTTATTTTTATTGTGCATCAAAAATATGTGAGCGCCGAGTAAGATCCTCAGGAGCCTATAGTTCAAAGGAAGGAGAGTATGACAAAGAAGAGCCCATTGTCAGAAAACTAGGAGGCCCACTAATCGGATTTGATGCATCAGTCAGATCCCAAGCAAGCAAGACCAAAGCTAACTAGGTCACGAGAAGACCGAATGATCTTAATTTGAGTCGCTCGATCAGAAATGAGCAAAGAGACATATAAGTCAACGCCGACCGAAGGAAAGATCTAGCCCATCAACATTTTCGGTCATACCGAGGTATCCAAAAGCTCTCAAATCTTTTATCAGTGATCAACAACCAGACCAACTCAACCGACCGAGCTAGACATGTCGACCCAAAAGAAATCGATCTTAGTCGACTAGCAATTTCGACTAAGCCCAACTAATCAAACTGGTCATGTCGAGCCGAAGTCATTTGATTTCTGCTAAACTAGTCAAATGGAAGTAGAGTGATAGACTCATAACTATAAAATATCTTGAATGCCTTGTACGGCCCCACATTAAAGCAGAGGCAACAATATAATCTCACCATATTGTACATTCTCCCCCATAAATAGGGAGATCATCACGAATAAGAAATGAAGTATTACTAACCAATACTCTTCACTCTTGTCTCTACCACCCTCTATCTCTCTATCTCTCTCTCTCCCCTTTCTCCTTTCTTATGCTATATTCCATGAAGTGTGATTTACAGACAAATCGGGATTTAACATCCTAAAAGGAGCAGTGAGAGTAGATCATGCCACAGACAAGAATAAGAGCATCCAGCAGAAAAAAAAAACCTCATAATAGAGACACTAATAATATAGAGTACACTAGACAATACATTAACCAGCAGATCTAGAAACCGAAGAATCAAATGTTGGATTCCATTCGAGAGGCTATGGCTGAGGGAAGAGAATAGCATCCTTCGAGAAGAAGGGTAGGGGCCCAATGGCTGAAGAACCCACCTAGCCCTATAAAGAGAAGGAGACTCCTAATACTTTAATAGTGCTAGGTTGGCACTAATCGAAAGGCATCGATTATAAGTTATCAGATTTAATAATAATAAAGATGGGTAACATAATTTATATTTCTCTTTCCCCTTAGCTGATTGCATTGTAATTGTTCTTTCAGTTTCTCTTTATTCTTCCAAAAATGAAAATAGGTCTGACAATTGGCATCAAGCAAGATGCTCCCAAATTCATCTTTAGAAAAGTACTCTTAAAAAATAATATTCGTTAAACTATTTGTGTTGATTAGAGTGCTTCCATCTAATGATTCACATTCATTGCATCAACTACAATAGAATCCTTATATGGATTCCCATTTGATGGTCATTTATCGTTTGTGAATGTAATTGGTAATACTTTTATAATTGGTGCTCTTGAAGTAAATATTATATTCACCTCTCCATGGAAAATTTTATTCACAAATTTCTTATGAGAAGATTCTTTTTTATTCCCTCAAAGATTGTATATACTATTCTACTTATATGAATCCCTTAAGCTTCAAAAGATCTGTTTTTAAACTCTTAATAGGGACTTTACCCTATCTCCTCTTCAGTTTGGTATGAATGAGTTCCTTCAACTTTTTCAAGTTTGATCAACTCTTCATCAAAATTTCAATAGTGTCAGTAATCTTCTGACATGCCCATAATCTAAATAAAAAGAGTAATACTTCAATGGTTCTCTTGTATATGGTCTCTCTTAATCTAAATTAATAATCTTTCTATTGTTTTCAAGTAATTGACACTAAAATAATTATTAGATTTTCTCTTTATTTTCTATAAATATGGAAATTAGACATAGAATAATGCGAGAAACTCATAAGCTCTTCTTTTAAAAAGAATTTTGAAAATGATATTCGCTAAACTCCTTTTGTCAATTTGATAGCTACAAAACTAATAATTAGTAATCAAAATAGTTACTATAGTAATATCATTGTCTGAATTCTTATTCGTTAAAATATTATTTTTTAAGGCATATAAATCGAAACATATTTATAACTAGAGATCTTGATGTTTTGTAAGAGTTCACAACTCAACAATCAAAATTATTTAAATTCAAACTCAATGAGATGCTACTTCTCTTATTGCCTCAATAATAGTGGGTACTTTTTTCTCTTCTGGACCTACTTTTGGAACCTTCTTTCATTGCATCCCCATTTAGTAAAAATTGAAATTCATTTTCCTTTTTTATATTAATTAACTCTTTAATGTGATCTTTAAAATGTAATAAAACTTTATATTAGATACATGATTCTTATAAAAATATTGTTCTTTGATCGATCATTTTTAGAGTTGCCCTCATTGACACGGGTTACTTAAAATAGTCTTCTTTCATGATAGACTCCATGTGTCAGCTAGTGAAAATACAAAAAGAGTTATGGTTTGATACTAGCTGATAGAGGTGTTGATCACTCCCTTCTTATAGCATCATGATTCGTATTTTTTCTTTGGTTTGTGGAATGATGTGGCCATTTATAATGGAAGGTAATTTTTAATGATAACATGATTTCTTGTCCTTTCTTGAGTTCCTTTGGATACTTTATTTGAACTTGAAAATCATCAAGAACTCCTTACCAAGATTTTGGCTAATCCATAGATCAAAAAACAATATGTAGTTGTAGGAATTTGTTGACCTCACTTTTGGTGAGGGTTTTGGGTCTTTCTTTTAGTGACTAGGATCTAGCCTTATGACTTCCCTAATGACTATCTTAGCATCTTAGAAATGGTACCCACATTCTCCTTAGACATTTCAACAAAATCTTTGTTCTCTATGTCAATTCTTTATGTGATCGATAATATTTAATACAAAGATTAAAGATTACATAAAAGAACCCTGATGAGAATCCTCATAGGACATTTAAGCCATAGGATTGTCTTTTGCACAATTTGCACCTTCGCGCACACACAAATTTTGCAATTCGAGCGATCGACGCTTTCGTTCATGTAATTCGCATCTTCTGCATTGTTATTTGTTGAAAACTTAAATAAATTATTGAAACGATTGATTGCAAGTTGAATTTTTGACGAAAATGAAATTCAACACGTTTTTTTGACTCGATCTTTAACGAGGTTGTTCGAATGACCTCAGACGATGAAACAAATTGCGTCGGTGCATCCAGAACGTCAATTTTACCTGGGCGCATTCATTTTGCAGTGAGGACATATCCGGGCGAAAATGTATGAAGGGTAATAAAAATAATATATTATTATTATTATTATTATTATTATTATTATATAATAAATAAAAAATATATTATCTTTTCCCACGTCTCCCTCCTCCTTTATCCTTCACGAGCCTGCAGCCTACCTTTTTCGTTCCCATACTTGACCCTTATCACGACATATGTTGAGGAAAGTGGATCTCGGTCAACTATTTTGATTTGACAAGAATCTTTTATGAAAAATATTTAATTATAATTAAATGTTTGCTTCCTTAAAGATTTCCCTCCAAGATAATTGCCTGAAAGGCTTCATGCAGAATCTCTTGAGATCTTGGAAATATTCCTCTTATTTACGTAATTCGCTTTACCTGTTTCTTATAAAAGGCTAAACCCACCTGCTTTCCAACACATCCCACAAACTCCCACAAACTCCTCTTCAGCTGAA